AAAAAAATTTTAAGCGCAATTTTTAAGCGAAAATCGGAATTTTCAATAAAATGTCAATTTTTAGTTACACCTTCAAACAGCTGTAACTCGCGAACTATTCATCGTAGAAAGTTCAGCCGGTGCTCATTTTTTAGATAAATTAATTCTCTTCAAAAAATCATTTAGCGCAGTACTGTCTAAATGCAGTGAAAACATACTTATTTTCAAGGAAACGTTTGAAAATGGTAATTTTTCATGATTTCTTCCCGCATCATTTTATACTGATTATTAGAACGATATTGTATATGTACATTTTGATTCAAAATTTGATTCTGTACAACTTTCATTACATACACTAAGTGCGTACAATCTACAGTTTTCGACTTATTATTGATTTTATTGTGCAAAACGTACAGCGATTGTGTCTTATAAAAATGTTTAAATGATCATATCTCCGTCAATATTAATCGTATGGAAATGTTTAAAAAAAGGAAATTCTTCGTAATTAAATCCCCTACAACTTTTATTTGAAGCATTTTGCGATACGAATGGCTATTCTCGAGATACAAGCGTATAACGCGCGACGCGCGTACGCGTAATCATTTTGCATCAAAAAAGGCAAAATTAAAAAAATATATATCTCGGCTCCTATTGGTCGTAGAGAGGCATAAAAAAAGAAAATGTGCGGAATTTTGTCAGCTACAACTTTCTTAACGTTTTTATTTTTGATAAAATTGATACTTTTTGAGTTATTTTCGAAAAACTGATTTTTTGGACACTTTTTCTCCCCCCATTTCTCTCAGAGGGAGGATACGGGTGGGGACTTTTAAATACTTCAAAGGGAGCACAAAACAAGCCTGTTCACAAATTTTCAGAGCTGTAACCATTATTTCTTCCAAATTTTCCCATTTTACTGGGCTAGCATGCATATCCTGATATAAGAATACCTAAAATTTTCCTCGTTTGTGAGGATCATTTTAAGGAAAATGACATTATAACAACAAAAGTGATTAAGAATTCGGATGGAAAAATAATATTTGAGGTAATGTATATCACAATGTATTATCACAATGCGAATGCGCCAGTACGCCAAACAAATAAATAATGATTTAATGAAAACGAGTTGTCAAAAAAAGAAACAAGCTCGTTTATATAATACATAAAAATGTAGAAAATGTACAAGATTCAATTTTTTAACTCATGTTACGAATGTTATTTTTAAGTTTATCAACAAAATTTAATAAAAGATGTTTGTGCAATTATTACAACAATTTCTTTAATTATTATAGTTTCTTTTATTATTATATGTTTCTTTTATTAAGATCTTATTTTAGCAGGTGATCTATTCACATATCTTTTAAAATACTTTGTGGGGTTAGGTGTTATACATATACGCCACCTTCTGGTTAACTGCGGAATCATGGTCGAAGTAACAAGGTCTGCTATTGCGCAGCCTTTTATATCTAGCCAATAGCAAGCAAGACTGAATTCCGCCATATTGCGCGCATATATATGAACATATTTAAAAATGATTTTGTGTGCAGACACATACACATAAAAAATGGCGGAATTCAGTCCTGCGCAGAACCGGATGAATATTTGTCATGGATATGAGTAGACCTTGTTATTTCGACCATGTGCGGAATGTCCTCAGGAAAATCACAGTGATTTTACATGAGTAGAATCATCTATTATTCTTACATCGTGGTCACAGCATTTTAGGGGAAATGTAGGTGAGTGAGGCCACTGTCACCAAGCTTCAATTAACTAATCGGCTTGGTAACTTTGCAAGCTTTCAACTGAAATTGATGTCGGAGCTGAGCTCACATTAATACTCCGACATCAGTTTCAGTTAGAAGCCTGCAAAGTTACTAGGCCAATTAGTTAATCGAAGCTTGGTGACAGTGGCCCTGAATACACCTATTATTCTTACACCGTGGTAGTATTATATATATGGGTAGAATTTCCCAATCAAGCGCTAGCAACGTTTCCTTTACAGGTTTACCAACATGAGGCCTAACGTTATCATGAAGCAATTTCACGGGACATTTTTGTTTGCCAGTAAATAGATAATTTCGTTCTATTTCTTAATTTAAACGGATCAATTGTTGACTGTAGCGATCATTGTTAACCGTTTCATTCGGATGGAGCAGCTCAAAACATAGCACACCCTTCATATCTCACCAGATGCATAGTATAACTTTGCTGCTGTGGATGTTGCGTTTTGGCGTTAATGTAGTGGGTTGTCCTGGATCCAAATAATGTTTTCTCTTTTTAGGATTATCGTAAAAAATCCACTTTTCATCACCAGTTACGATTTTCCACAAGAAAGATTTTCTTTGCTGTTTATTATACAGATTCAAACACTTTGCAAGACGATCATTTTTGTTTTTTATACTTAATGCATGCGGCACCCACTTTCCTTCCTTCAGAATCTTTCCCATCTGTCGTAAACGAATTGAAATATTTTGTTGAGTTACTCTAAATTGCTGTGCAAGTTCTTTTTGTGTTTGACATGAATTTTGATCGAGTAATGCTTGCAATTGATTGTCTGTAACCTTCTAAGGAGCCACTACGTTCTCTATCGCTAACATCAAAATTATCCTCTTTAAATCGTCTAAACTAAAACTCACACGTACTTTTGAATACAACATATCTCCAAGAACAGAACAAATTGATTCATATGCTTTAGCAGAGCTTTTTCCTTGGTGAAATTCGTATCGAACACAGTGTCGAATAAATTGCTTGTGGCTTACCATTTTTAAATTATTTAATTTTGATGTTAAGTTTCCAATTGTGTGAAGTCAATTGTTTTTTTTAATAGTACACATTAAGCGCCACCACATATCAAAAGGATGCGAAAATATTTGAATTCTAAGTTTAAATTATGCGTTACACAAAAAAAACGCTTTAAAACTTATTTGTACACCCAATACATGTACGAATAAGATACCACTTCTTATGACAAATGTCACAAGCAATTA